CACAATAGGCACCTTGTCAGTGCCCCTGGCTGCTTGCTCATCACACTACCCTAGTGCTTGTATGTGAACTCACTAACCAGCTTCTTGTTCGCTAGTGCAATAGCTACTGTTTTCTAGGAACAGTTCTAGGCCCGGGGTAAAACTATGCTTGTCCACACAGAGAAGAATGCATACAGCAGGCATTATAGACCAGAACGTGTCCACAAATAACTATGTATTAACAGAAGAGACTGTCATGTATTACTTCTTCCATAGAGAAGACTAATTTTTAATCTAAACTAGAAGCTCATTATTAGAGATGCAGTGGCACGTCCATTTTAAATTCCATTTAAAGAAGATCACATTAACAATGTGATCTGTGTATAAATCCAATAATTCTGAAAATGTTATTTTTCCCTCCATAGAAAATGATGTCAGCCTCAAATCTGATATGGGTAGCTTTGAAAGTGATGTGCACTGGTCCTTCTGACCCTTTCCACTAGTCTATGCCTGGGTAACTATGCCACAGAACAGTAACCAGGCTAGATGTGATTACATGACAGTCTATGCCCCATAAAATGGTGCATGAATTGATGAAAGGTGCCCACCTTGGGTACAGGAGCAGATTAAGTTGACCATGCAGCTAGAGTTGTAAGAGCAAACTTTTTGTGTTTGTTTCTTACTGAAAATGGTGGAAGAGAAGGCTGGATTCTTCATCACAAAAGACCACGCCCCCCCTCCCCTTCCTGGCTACTGTGTGCAAAAATGAAACTCACTGGCAATACGTTCAGAAGCTCTCAGAACTGACAGAAAGGTTGCAGAAATAAGCATGAAAATGAGCTACTGAGAAAGGCTGGGCAGGGGAGCCCATGAGGGTCACGTCTCAGGAGCAATGGGGCCAGCACATTACTATGGATGCTGCTGCTCCAGTGTTCTCCGCAGCAGCACTGTCATCACCATGACAACCACAAGTCATGTCTGTGTTGCTCCTTCCGAAGTACCAATCCAGAATATTCAGTCATTGAAGCCGAGATCATGTATCCACACTGTGCCTTCCCTGGAAGGGGAGGGGGTGTGTGTGGAAGAAAGAATCATTTGACAACTTGTAGCTCTGAGGGTAAGAAACCTTCCTTCCAGCAAGATGCATTGTCTGGGAGCTTTTAGTACCTTTTAAGACTCTGCTTGCCTAAACTCCCCCATCCTATGCTCCTGGCCTGGGATAAGAATCTGTGGAAGGTTAAAAACTCCTGCAGTTTACCTGGCCTTCTGTGTAGGAAAATGGACAAGTTAGACTTCTGAACAAAATGGCAGACATGGTAAACCTCTATTGGAGGTTTTATCTGTAAGAATGAAAATTGGCCAATTATGTAGCTGCACTGGGGACTGGGGAAGAGCAAATATGGAGGAGAAGTATGTCTAATGGAATCCTAATGAACAGAAGGACTCAGATGCATAAATTTGAGTACGGTGGGACTATAGTTAATGGTGATATTTATGGAGCAATTTTTTTATGTTCTAAGGAATTGTTTCTGTTTTTTTTGTTTGAAATTAGGTTCATTGCATTTTTCTTTTTACAACAACTCTAGGAAACCTGAATGGAAATGATTCCATTTTTGGAGGAAGAAGCCTACAGTAATTAAGGAATGTGGCCAAATGTCTCATAGCTAGCAAGTGAGGGACATGGTATGGATCCGAGCCCTCCCCTACATGTCATTCTACTGCCTCAGTGTACACCACTGCCACCTGTCCTTCTGTTCCACTACCCTCAAACTTCACACAAGATATCCATCAGAAGCCTGCAGAGATCATGCTTTCCCGTGTTCAAATCTCATCTCCCACAGAACGGGTTATGGTTGGCCAGTTGGGTTTTGGGTCCAGTAGAGGACATGGGTGAGGGCAGGGACTTTAGCATCAGGGCAATCATTGGCAGGGTTGGAGGGTTGTTGGAGCCAGACAATTGTCAACTACAAACTTCAACTTTGCCTCCTGCATGACTTTTCCTCCCCTTTCTTACTTTACAGTAGATTAGAAATAAATTTCATTTCCAAAGATAGTGCCTAATACATTCCATGCATCGGAGAATATCGATTGCTCTCTCCTCTGTTACTGAGCTTTCTTCTTCTTTTCTTATTCTTTTCCTGTTTCAGTCCGTGCTTTGCAAACAGGAGTTACCCTGGGATATTTAGGTAGATAGATGAATCATAGGTTGAAGAAAAAAGAAAAAGAAGACTACCAAACTGGCCAACATGGTGGCCACACTACACACGACTGTTCAAGTTTAATTACTTGAAGTTAAGTAAAATGACAAGCTCTGTTTCTTTATCATGCTAGCCATAAGTTCTGTGCTCAATAGTACAATATAGTTCTATATTATAGAGTACTTTAGATTATTTCCCCATTTGACGATTGTGTACAGTGCTGCCTCTGAAGGTTCCAACAATGGCATGAAATGTCTCTAAATGACAAGCTTCCCAGAGGAAGTGGCTGGATGACCTAGAATGACCCTCCGGCTCCCAGGAGCTATAGGTCTCAGCTTTCTTTCCCACAGCTCTGCTTCCTGTGGATTACTTCCTGACTAGTTCCCATGTTTTCTCAAGAGCAGTAGTTGCATCATATAAACTTGACTTATTTCTTGGTTAGCCTATAAAAGCTATACAACTATAATAGAAATTTCTTGGGCTAGAGGACATGTATTGCTGATACAAAAAAATATTTTATGTACTTGCTTAATGAGAAATGCTACTGAATGAATATACCGACAGGAAATGCTATTAGCAAGATAAAATGATTAGATACAGAAGTGTTTTAAGATTCCCCAAACCATGTTCTCATGGTCTTTATGGTGGGGTCATTTCCTGTTTCTCCTCTGTTCATAACTGTTGAGAAAAGACAGAATATTCTTGATAGAAGCTGCTTTAAATATTTAAGATGATTCTGTCCCCATGAACAGAAGTTGTTTCCCTGCAGTGGCAACCCACAAATTTGGATTCTGCAGCCTCTTGGATCTGTTGGGAAGGAAAGTGGGTCATGATCCGGTCTGAAAGGACCACAGCTGCCACATTATAGTAGATTCTGTTGGAGAGTGGGAAGGAAAAAGTCACATTTTCTAAGTGGCTAGGTGATGAGGAAGAGATCTTTCTTCCCCTAACCCGCAAGACTAGTGAGAGTTCTTGTGAATGTGAGAACGGCTCATCTCTCCTTGGCAGTGTGAAGGGAGGTAGCAAGATCTCCCCACAGGTGACCTTCATCAGAGAGATTGTGGTCCACAATGGAAAACTCCAGCACCCCAAATATTCTTATGCCTAAGACAGGTATAGTATGGGCCCAGTCTTCAGCCTAAAGGGGACCAGAGAAGCTAAGGCAATGTGGTCATGGGGGCTGTAGCCTGACCTAAACCAGGAGTCCTGCAGAAATAATCATGATGTAGTAGCCTACCAGTTCAAAGGAAAGATGCCCTTGGTCACATGGAGCTTGATTCAAAGGATTCTAAAAATAGATCACATTTTCTGTGCACCTGAGCTTAAGAGCTAAACATCTTGGTGGCTGCAGTTGAATATGCAAAGTGGTGACATAAAATCTGAGGCCAGTTAAGGGCAGTGTCCGTGTGACCTGCCTGGGACACTGATGACTCTCTAGTCCTGATACCAAGGACTGAAGAACTGCTTTTCACACTCTGAACTTTTGGCATGCGTATTCTTGGAGTGGGATGGGGGGTGTCTTTTTGTAGAGGAGCCTCATCAATGGACAGTCCCACTGAGTGTAAGAGTAAACCAGTAAGCCCGGTCTGGTTCTGCCAAAGCCTCTGTTAAGAAACCATTTTGACTCAGCACTTGATTTAATTACGTTACATGTGGATTTGGCAACAAGCTAGAATTGCAATTTTTATTAGTCCCTTAAAAATGATTAGTCTTAGATGAATATGGTTGACATAGATTGCATACAACTATAAAAAACAGAGCAATAAGACCAGTTGAAATTGTTTGGAGAACGGAAGAAGAGGGGAAAGGAGACTAACAGAAGGAGTGAGATTGTTTGGAACATATTGTAAATGTGTGGAAAGGTAATAATGGACTCCCCCTTGTAAAAAATAAAATAAAATGGATCTCTTATTAATTCCCCCCCCCCAAATCCAAGTACAAGCTTTCTGTAAAGTAACTGACAGGCTAGATTGATTCTCCACGTCTTTTCAGAAGCACTCATAGTTGTGGATGCCCAGAGCTTTGGGCTGCTAGGACAGAGGCTCTTTTTTACATGTCCACAGTGTGCTGCTTGCTTCTTTCCTGAGCTGTTCATTCCATTTAATTAAAACTCCAATGAACTGCACAAACTTGAGGGAAAAAAATGTTAAGAGCCAGTACTCCACAAATGCGCAGAGAAAGAGGACATTTCCAGTGAAAATAGCGTCATGCTTTAAAAAGATCCAGTGAAGAGAAGTCATTTGAAGGGTATACATACAGAATGTTTATGATTGGTGAGGCAGAAGGTTTGGCAGTGGCTACAAAGGCTTACTTTGCTGAAGAAATCCAAAGGAGGAAACACAGAGCACCACACTCAGGATGGCGTAGAAAGGGGACAAATGCAGCATGCTCATCAACAAAGCTATACTAACAGGGCACTCACCCCAGGAAAACACCGCGGGCTACACACACATTTTGGGTCTCGGTGTGGCCTATTGGAAGGTATTGTTTGTGAGATTCCCTGGCTGGCCTGGCTGGAAGGCCGCCCTCTGCTGGTGGGAATCGCGAGGTGCCACGCGGGGATCACGGGAGACCCCACCCTCGGGAGGAACGCGGGGATCGGCGCGTGTGAACTGAGGTGCAAATTGATTGATCCAAATAGATGCAGGTGGTGAAAGGCAAAGGGTCCAGCTGCTGTCCTTTGATGCCAGGAGAAGACAAAGAGGTTCTAACGATGGAAAGGGCAGCTCTTCCCAGGAACGAAACAACTTCCCCGCTTCACCAGGGAGGGACAAGCCTCCCCCCCCCCCCCGAACGAGCGGATACCGCAGGAGACGGGGCGAGATGGCGGCCGGCTCCTCCCTTCTCTGCGGCAGCATCTCAATCAATAATGCAGGGGCGCTGCGGCAAAGCCGCAACCCCGAGGCGCAACCTTGCCCCGTTGCGCCATCTAGCGTCCATCGGCGTCCCCTGCAGGCTGCAACTGGAAGATCAGGAAACTGCCTGGGTAGCACAAAGCCTTCCATTTCGCTTGAAAGGACAAAGGGAAAAAATAAATGGAGCGGTTTTTGTTTCCTGTATCTTTTTTATTTTTTGCCTTTCAGATTAATTTTAAGGCAAGGAACACTGAGTGCCGGTCGCGTACAATGAATACAGATTTATCAAGCGCTGTGTCGGTCCTTTTGTATCAAGCTATGAAGTCTTAGCCTTTACTTCCACAGGCAGGATCTAGTCCCAATCAAAACAAAAAATCATATCATAGATGCCCAGTTAAATTTCAAGTTCACAATGGAGATTTTTTTAAAAAGAAAAATATAAGTGCTTCCTGTAGGTACTAAACACTTAACTGGACATCCTATCATAACCAGATTTTTCTTAGCCAAGCCTGGCAACCCTCCCACAGGTTTTGAAAGGGTTGGTGGCAGAGCCAGGCTTGCTTGAGGGGATTTGGAGAAACCATTTATGCAATCTTCTCACTAGGTGGTTCTCTTGGGAGAACAGCATGACAAAGGCTGGGGGCTCCCTACTTTGCTCAGCTGAACTGAGAGCCTGGGCAGTGGGGTGGGGGAGGAGGGGGAGAAGGGCACAAAGTGATGTCCCCTTGAGAGCCTGTCTCTACTTTTATGTGATCCAGTCCCATTAGGGGAAAAAAAATAACAAGAAAAGCTAGCCTCTTACCAGCTGGGTTTTATCTCATACACAAGGAGGAGTGAATAAGAGGTTTTGTGTAGGAGAGTAACATGACCAAATGCAAGTTTAAAAACAGACAAATCAGATAACAGCATTGGGGATGGATTGGAGGAATTAACAAGTCTGAAGGCAGACAGACCTAGAGCAGGCTGTGGGAGGCCAGAGACCTCATAAAAGTGGCTGGGGCTTGGATGGGAATTGGGTCTTCTGATTGCAAACCCAGCAAGGGGCCTGGTCCACCTAAGTGGATTATGGTGCACACGTGCAACTATTTTAGAAATCAGGAATAGCACGCCACATTATGTGTTCTTTCCCTTCGCTGAAACACTAGCTCCACCCACACTTGGAAATACTGAAAATACTTTGTCCTCCTTTTCTCTCTCCCTTCCTCCTTTTCATCTGGTCCTCCTCAGTGCCTGCATCTAATTAGCTCAGACCTCTTTTCTATGAGGAACTCTCTGCAAACCAGATGAACAGGACCAAGTGGCAAAGTGAATTATATCTGTCTTAAGTATTTGGCCTTGTTTTTCTTGGGCCACAGCCTAACTTTTTTTTTTATGCCCTTGGAATGAGGGCACCTGCTTCTTTTCAAGAGAATCTGATCCAAGATCCACACAGATGGTAGGGCAGGGCATTTGGTGGTTGTCAGAGATTTCTCGTTTTTGGACCTTGTTCACGAAAAGCCAAACAGAGCTTAGTAACTCTTGCACCCTGCCTTCCCGGTGGAGGAGGGTATTGGCAACAAGTGAGGCTCTCAGGGAATGCACAGGTGTTGGTTAACAAGGCTGAGTACAGGTTAGAGGAAAAAGAGAACCAACCTACTCTCATGATTCCAATTGTGTGGAGAGCTTGCTTGGTAAATGGGTAGGATTCACTTAACAGAAGAACACATGGGAGAAAGATGATGTGTATAGTAAAAAGCAAGAGCAAACAGGACACAGTGATAGAATACTTGTATGTACATTATTAGAGATGTGCCTCTTTCCATGAAAGATGTGCACTGGACTAGGAGCCCTCTCCTCAGTCTTCAGCTCTCAACTCTTCACTTCTCAGAAGTGTCCTCTCTGCCTCCAGTCTAACTTCGCTCCCATCTGTCATTCTCTCTTAGGAGGGTTGTGCTCTATGATTAGTCTTTATTCAGTTTTTAATGATGGATATTTGGTGTGTTTATGTCTTCAGGGTCTGCTCTCCCAGCAGATTACATACCTCTACAGGGCAGGGATTAAGTGTGTTTTATTGACCAAGTACAATGACTTAGCTTCAACTTTTTAATCTGTTAAATGAGGATGGTAATACTGCTTTTGCCTACCTCACTGAGCTGTGAAATTAGAAACGATAATACATGGGCAACCTCCTTGTAAATCATAAAATGCGATGAAAATAATAGTTATGCCTACCGCCATGTCTGCTTGAATGTACCTCACAAGCTGAATGCTTGAGAAATGAGCTCCTAGACAGGAATTTCCATTGGATGATAATGGAAAGTGCTAAAAAAAAGTCGACAACAGTAGCCCTGACCTCACATATTGCCTTATTCACTTACCCTCTCATGTCAAGAGGAGGGAAATCATAATGCCGTGGCTGGAGATGTCTAAACATGAATGACTGTGGGCTTAGAGCAGACAGATTCCGGGGGTAAGTTTTGTTATTTGAATTCTTGGGCAACATGTTCCTTTCTTACCAAGAGGCAAGAATGGCCACCGTGACATCTTCCCTGCTCCACGGAAGGGATAAAGCAGAGGGACAGAAGAAAAAGAAAAATGGCTGCTTCAGCTTTTCCTGAGGAGCAAATGGAAGGAGCAGGAGTCTCCTCAGCCCCATCATTGCCCGGCTGTGAGTAGCATTGCACACAGGATGGGGAGGCACGCAGCTGAAGAGGACACTGCACCTCCTCCGCCTTTGATGGGTGAGCCAGGAAACAAGAATTTTCCCAGTCCAATAGCCAGGATGAGACAGGAATCACTGTGGTTGGGAATCCAAAGACCAACTAGGCCTAAACTGGGAAGACAGAAAGAAGGATAAAGCTCGGATTGTACCAGGCCCCAGACACACCTTCCTTCTCTGTCTTCAGGTTTTGATCAACAGTATTACTGTGCTGGCTTCCCCACCCCATCCCTGTTGTTCAATGTCCATATCATTATAATTTAACTCAATACTTAGCAATGGCCTATGGGTTGCTTGCCTGCTTATGTTGACTCTAGTTCTCCAAGGACACCAGATTCCCTGTGTTTGGTGGAAGACCATGGTCTCGGGCCTTAGTGAGGCCTCACTCCTGTGTCTTGTGTAGCTAGGCTCAAAGAAGTGAGCAGGGAGTAGGGCATAAGAACATAAACAGCTGGTGTTAGGTTAGGGAACAGGCCACGGGGAATAGGAATAGGCCGTAGGAAGGCAAGGAAAGGTAGACTTCCTGCTGGGCCCACAGGAAGACAAATCTGTACACCAAAGAGTAACTAACACAAGCCAAGGTCACATGGGACCAATATAGAATATGGACTGGTGCCACTTACGTAAGAAGGCTGAGAAGGAGGAAACAGGGTACACATTAGTAAGTTTGGTTTTAGATGTTTAAAAAAAATTAAAGTGACACATAAAAAACACAAAAATTTCTGTCACGACCGCCTCGACCAGCAAGGAAGACGCGACACCGAACTCTTCTCTCTGCAGTTTATTCAGGACCTTTGAGCAATCTTTTGACCCCAACCCCGGGGAGAATTCCCCACAGCCTTAAGTACCCGCTGGGTAGCCAACCCTGATACGCCACGTGGGAACCACCAATAGGTTCAGGTGCGCGGAAGCAAGCCAGAGTCTTTGCCTTAGCCATATAAGGAATTGTTTACCACAGAGAGCACTTGCCATCGGGAAGGCGGAGGGCGGAAGCCGGCGCCATCTTCCAGGTGCGGCTGCACGCAGCTCTCTACAAATTTCCAGGCCCCAGTGGCTTATGCCAGTAATTCTAACCACTCAGAAGGCTGAGATCTGAGGACTGTGGTTCTAGGCCAGCCCGGGTAGGAAAGTCTGTGAGATTGTCATCTTGACTAAACTACCAATAAACCAGAAGTGGAGCTGTGACTCAAATGGCAGAGTACTAGCCTTGAGCAAAAGAAGCTGAAGAATAGCGCCCAGGCCCCGAGTTCAAGTTCCAGGACCGTTACAAAGAAACAAAACAAAACAAAAAAGTGTACATATTACTGTACAAGAAACTGTTTCCTAGCTTCCCTAATGATTTACAAGTGTTTGAGCTTAGGTTGAGGAAAATCGGGGTTCCCTATCCTGTCATCTGTAATGGAACTGTGATTACAGAAAGGGCTTCTCCAGGGACAATAGGAGTACACCCTCTGTCCATCTAGACATTTATCTGAACACAGCCCATCAGGTTTGAGAACTATGTTAGAACAGAAGGCACTTTGGAGGGTCAGTGAAGGCTTGAGAGCCCCAGGATCACCCCGGATAGGACCAGAAGGGGAAAAGATCAGGTCAGCAGTGAGCTTAAGGTTCTAAGAGGGAAAGAAAGCATCACAAGGAAAATGTAGAGCAGGGAAATCCCAGACAGAGGCCGAGGACAAGGGAGGGAGACGTACCTAATGCTAGCATTGTGCCCAAGGGTAGGCTCTGACCTCCCAGGAGGAGATTCCTAACTTCTTCCCACCCCCTTCACCAGCCTCACCAACCCCTTCACACTAACTGCGAAGCTTGTTCTGGGAGAATCGCACGAAAGCAAACAGGTACAGAAACGGATTCTTAGGCACGGAACGCACAGCCTGTGAAGCAGTAGCCCAGCTGGGAGGTGGAGACACAGCTCCTGTACAGAGAAGACAGGGGGGCTTTGTGTGCCTCCAGCAGAGGAGCTGCCACCTCGCCAGCCCTCCACACCCACCTCCGGGCGGCGGCATGCAGCAGCTCCTCATCCTCATCCTTCTCCTTACCCGGCTAGCACTGGTAAGCCTTTCTTGTTTCTTTCCAGAGACTTTGGCTGGTCTTCATTCTTTGGGCCAAAATTAAAAAAAAAAAGGAAAAGAAGGTGGGGGGGGAATGACTGGTGAAAAAGTATTTCAGGAGAAGCAGGAAGCCATTTTCCTCTCCAAATAAAGTTGAGTCCACAGCTTCGTGAGACATACATGAGACCCTTCTCTCTTGCAGGTAAACTGTGGCTGTATTTGAACAGCCGCAGACTTTCCTATATTTATAGATCTTAGCGGTTTGTAACACACACCACCTCTCTGGGGCCAGGCAGTACCGGCTGCCACTGTGGAGTCAAAACACTGTCCCTTCCTGTGGATACCAGCCGGGGGCTCTGCCTGCCAGTCATTTGCAGAGAGCCCCTGTATGTGGATTAGGGGAGTGATGTTTTTCAGCCTGTTCTTGTTGGCAAGGAGGCCTTTGGAATGAATCTTTGCAGTTCTCCAACTTTCTGTTGTTTCTGTCTTGGCACAATCCCCGTGTCTCCCACGGAGGCCACGAGATCTGTCCACGGAGACTGGGATGTTGCAAATGACAGACCAAAAGGAGTTGAATATCAGCAATTCATTGCCTTCATATTTTCTTTTTTTTTAAATGAGAAGATTTAACCAGGGTGAGTTGTTCCCTGATTTATTTACACGGTGGAGGTGCTCGCTGGCACAGGAGACAGAACTGCTGAGATCTGTTGACTTAGAAAACATGGAGTGTCTGTGAGTTATGGTTGCATCAGCCAGTGAGCAGTGGATGCATCACAGAAAGCAAGGATTTGAAATTTTTACTCTCAATAGAGAGTAAATAGCTGATTTCTAAGGGGTCATGCCCGGAGTGCAGTGGTTCAGGTCCTTCCTGCTGATATCCTGGCGATGTGCTTCCCTAGCAGCCATGAGGCAGGGATGTCTCCTATTCCATATTCTGAAAAAAGGCTGGTCATTACTGGGGACTGAGCTGCTATAGATTCTTTGTCTTTTTCTTTCTCCCTTTCTGTCTTCTTTCTTTTTCCTTCCTTCCTTTCTTCCTCCTTCCTTCCTTCCATCCTTCCTTTCTACCTTCCTTCGCTTCCTTCCTTTTTATGGTATTGGGTCTGTGGCTTGAACTCAGGACCTGCGTACTGTCTCTGAGCTTTTGTGCTCTAAGCTAGCACTCCACCCCTTGACTTCTGACTTTTTGAAGTTCATTGGAGATAAGAGTCTCATGGGCTCTCCTGCCTGGCTGGCTTCTGACTGTGATCCTCAGATTTCAGTCTCTGGAATAGCTAGGATTACAGGTGCCCAACTTGCTATAGATAGATAGCAAGATATAGATAGAGAGATATGTACTGAAAAAACATTCCACAAGCATACAAAGCTGTTATAGAAGTGGAAGTGTGACTCAAGGAGTAGAGCACCAGACTGAAGCAGAAAAAAAAAAAAAAAAACAAGCAAGAATGCGAGGCTCTGAGTTTAAGCCTCAACACTGGCACCAAATCAGATCAAAGAAAGCAAACCAAAGCAAAACAAAACAAGCTGTTTTACTTAAGACAGTTCACAGGGAAGTGAGCCCGTGTCTCAAAAATAACCAGCACAGAAAGGGGCTGGAGGCATGGCTTGGTGGTAGAGCCTGGCAAGTGCAAGGCCTTGCGTGCAAATCTTAGTACACCAAGGAGCAACAGTCAGGAGGAGGAGGGAGAAGAAACTAAATAACAAGGCATAGAAAGGGAGTGTGGCAGATGGACAAGAACAGGCAGACTTTAGGTACCATGCTCAGAAGTTCGGACTGCTCACTGGAGATGCAGCAGCCACTGAGGGTTGCTGATAAGCTCTTTAAAGAGATCTATCCCTCTAGCAGTGATGAGAGGCAAGAGAGAAACAGGAGGAGTCCCTCTCATTCTTCAGTGGGGAAGACCCATGGACCTTATCACAGTCCCACTTAGTGGCATCTAGGGCTAGACTAGAATAGAGTGACAATACTAGAATATAGGATAAGCAAGGCTAGTCACGATTGAGGTGATTGATAGCATTTGGATTCCAAACTTTGGAAATGCTGTCTGGGATGAAATATTCTGAGATTTGAGCCTGAATTCCACCACCCCCCCTCCAGGGCTGACCCAGTAGGCAATCATTTACATGAGTTTGTCTACAGTGAAGAACTCTAGATTGGAAATGCAGCCTGGGTTGCACAGGGAAAAGCTGAAGACAAGAGGGCAGATGAGATTGTAAAGAGCGTGCAGAGATGAGCAACTAATTATGAAATCTACATGGAAGTCAGTGCAGGCTCACAGAGCCTGCAGGATTCAGAATGCATGTTAGATGTTCAGTTGCTTGCTCAGCATCAAAGCTGGCTTGCAGTGGGCTCTGCAGTGGGGAAGGAGGGGCAGGGCTGTGCACTTAGGCTCTGGAACCTGTCTGATTTAGCTCCCTTCTCCTACCTTGCTTGCTGTGTGACCTAAGAACAGGTTAAATACTCTGTAATGATCCATGTGAGAAAGAAGGGTGAATTGGGTCACAATGGTAGAAGAGGAGATATTGAGGTCCAGGGGGGGTATATTTGAAAGGTGTGACCAGCAACATTTATGGATAAAATGTGAAAGTATCAATCATGATTTAACCCCAAGAGAAAAAGGAAACAGGCATTTGCTCAAACTGGGAAGGGTATGGAAAACTACAGATTGGAGGGGAAATTTGTAAGTTTGCTTTTGGTCATGTTAAATTTGCTTTGTCTAGTAGAGTTGCTATAATTACTTTGAGATGTTTGTACTGTTGTACTGTTGCTCCAAACTGGCTTGAACTCCTCAGCCTCCTGAGTAGTTAGGATTCTAGACAGGAGCCGCTATACCTGGTTTAAGGTGGAGGTCTTAAGAAGGCCATCTGGGTCTGAGGTCAGAAGAGAAGTCAATGGGAGGCCGGAGATATGCTGAGGTCTTAACCAAGGGGTTCCAAGGTTTAGAGCTCAGGAAGATGAGAAGAAAGCAGCAAAGGAGACTGAGAAGGTGGGATGAGGAAAAGCCATGTGCTGGAAGCTGTGTGAAGAACGCTGAAAGACAGAATGGCCATGTCAAAAGCTGACAGATATTAGAAGTCAGATGTATCTACCTCTTTGGAGGAAATCTATTCCTCCAAGATCCATGATGAGTCCGAGGAACTACTTGTAACACTGCCTCTATTACCAAATGAAGTTCTGCTGCAGGGCACAGGACGCTGGGCTGCCAGACAGGACCCCTAGAGGAGGGCCAGGAGAAACCCCAGAAGTGCATCAGCGTAAACAAGTTTGTCACTGGCCCTGCAAATGCCCCCAACGGAAGCCAAATTGCCCTCCTGGAGTGAGCTTGGTGAGGGATGGCTGTGGATGCTGCAAAATCTGTGCCAAGCAACCAGGGGACCTCTGCAATGAAGCTGACCTCTGTGATCCACATAAAGGGTTGTACTGTGACTACTCAGCAGATAGGCCTCGGTTTGAGACTGGAGTGTGTGCATGTAAGTGTCTTGTTTTCTTCTGGACCTTTGGCAAAGGCGGAGTCTAGACAGACATCCCTGCTTCCCCCCAACCCCCCCCCCCAACTCTTGAATTGTTAACTTTGATTAACTTAGTTTGGCTCAATTCAAGGTGGACTAATTTCTGTGCACCAGTGAACTGGCTTCACATGAAGCGAGCAGATACACATGTTCAGGAACCTATTATTTCCTTTGCATGGAAGTAGATTTTGCAATTCTCAGGTAATTACTTTTAAGTGCTAGAAAAATAGAAGTTATGTCAATACAGTTGACTTCTTAAAGTACCACAAATGACGGCTTTTATTAATACTGCCCACAACCTGAATTCAGCCTTTTTCTATCATTAAAAAATTGTGGCCAGGTGCTGGTGGCTCATGCCTGTAATTCTAGCTACTCAGGAGGCTGAGATCTGAGGATCATGGCTCAAAGCCAACCCGAACAGGAAAGTCTGAGACTCTTATCTCCAATAAACCACCAGGAAACAGGAAGTGGTGCTGTAGCTCAAGTGGTAGAGTGCTCACCTTGAACTGAAGAGCTGAGGGACAGTGCCCAGTCCCAGAGTTCAAGCCCCACAACAGACAAAAATACATAAATAAATAAAAATTGTGTCATGTAGTTGGGGGTAGGAGGCTCTTATTGAGATGACATCTTACTTTTTTCCCAGATTGAAGTTGAACCATTATCCTCCCAATCTCCTCTCCTCCCTCGTAGTTCTTTGGACAATAGATATGAGCCACTGGTGCCTGGCTGATTTCTGGAGAAGTTCTGTGAAGGCAGTTCTAAAGTGTCCTAAGAAACTGAGAACTATTCTTCATAGAGGAGATAGCTTTCTTCTGGTATATCACTGAAAGTCTTTCAAAGTTATTCTATTTTTTTTTTTTAAAGCAATGCTGCTTTTCTCCCATTTTAGACCTGGTAGCTGTTGGATGTGAGATCAACAGAGTTCATTATCAGAATGGCCAAGTGTTTCAGCCCAACCCTCTGTTTAGCTGCCTGTGTGTGAGTGGAGCCATTGGATGCATTCCTCTGTTCATACCCAAGCTGGCTGGCAGCCGCTGCTCCGGAGCCAAAATTGGAAAGACGTCAAACTGTGTTCTGGGACCATCACAACGGCAGCTCCCAGAAAGCCACAAAACAATGCCAGGTGCTCACACGTAGAGCTGTTTTGCATGTATGACTTCTGTGGTTTTCTTGTGTTCCTTTGGTGCACTACAGGGACTGATGAGCATGAGTGTTTGGACTGGAGGTTAGAGCAATATTTTGTATTATCCTACTGAGCGTTATGCCTCAGGCAGCTACATTTTAAGGGTCTGAAAAGAAAACTTCCTTTTCTAGGTTTTGTCAGGAAAAGATTCCTGTGTTTCAAAGCTCTATTAGGTCAGAAAAAGTAGTACATTTTGGCTTCTTCTCAACCTATTTTTAAGAAAGTTGATCAAAGATTATTCATATATACCTTGGAAGAAAACTTTAATATCATTCTATTATGGGCAAAAGCTTTGATCACCCAGGTCCTAAAATTGTCACAGTTAACTTTTCTATATAAACACAAGTGGAGAGCTACTGGTTTAAAAAGTAAATTTAGGCTGGAAATGTGCTGGCTTAGTGGTAGAATGCTTGCTTAGCATACATGAAGCCCTGGGTTTGATTCCTCAGTACCACATAAACAGAAGAAAAAAAAAAGCCCAAAGTGGCTCTGTGGCCCAAGTGGTAGAGTGCTAACCTTGAGCAAAAGAAGCTCAGGGACAGTGCACAGGCCGAGTTCAAGCCCCTAGACTGGCCAAAAAAAAAAAAAAAAGTAAATTTGAAATCAAATAAAAATATATACAAACAATTAAATAAAAATATAACAAACAAGTAGGAATAGAACTAAAAACAATTTGAGAGCTAACAACGGTTACCAATCTGACTCTAAATACATGTGGTTCAGACACTACACATAGGCTTTTAAAAGTAGGTTACTTATATATGCTGCAAGAAGTGAAATGATATATTACTTATTTTGAGACCTGGCTACTTAGGATACAAATGGCACTCTGGACTGGTTTAAGTTTACATCTCATGTAACTGCTACAGTATTTTGGCACAAAAGGATCTACAACTCAGGCAAATGAAGCCCAGGAGAAGAAGAATAACACATCAGGGCAATATTGTTGCCAGGCTCTTGTTTACCTCTTTCTCATCTAGAAATCAAGAATTTCTTTTAATTTAGAGCTTAGTGATAGCTATCATGTTGGTGTCGAAAATTTGTGAATGTTAATAGCTCCTTAAAGCTCATCTTTATTAATAAAAGCAACTATAGAAACTAATCATGAAAAGATCAGCAGGGACTCTGTTAGTTAATTTGAAAAATATTCACTAGGTTGGGTGAATTTGTCCACACATAATTAGGTAGCCAATGATACAACACTACACATGCTTTAAAAATCTTTAAAATAGCCAGGTGCTGGTGGCTCATACCTGTAATCCTAGCTACTCAGGAGGCTGAGCTGTCAGGATTGTGGTTTGAAGCCATCCTGGGCAGGAAAGTTCACAAGACCCTTCTCTCCAATTAGTCACAGAAAAAGCCAGAAGTGGCACTGTGACTCAAGTGGCAGAGTGCTTGCCTTGAGCAAAAGGAGTTCAGGGACAGGCCCACAGTGCAAGCCCCAAGACTGGCAAAACAACAAAATCTTAAAATAAGACAAATAGTTCATTTATTATTTTGGTGCTGGGAGTTGAACCCCAGGCTTTGCACATGTCAAGTATGTACTCTGTCATTGATATTTGCTATATTCAGTGCCCAGCTTTTTCTGCATGAGATCTGATTCAAAATAAGGCTCTTGTTACAAACCAGATGTGAGTCTCCCTGGAGGAAATTACCTTAGCACAGTACTTCTCCCTTTGGGTCATGTTCAAGTTGGTTTTATCTGTGCAGCTCAATGGTTTCAGTGGATTTACTTGGAGGTTGGTTTGGAGAGGTCTCATATGGTCATTTTTGGCAGTCAGTGCTTGCTACGAACAATCGGAAAATGTCACAAAGTACTCTCTGCTATGTGATTTAGGCCTCGATATGTTCCAAAAACAGTGTATGTTTAACCTGTCCCTTCTCTGCTCAACTATGAAGTTGTATTTATCGCCCACAAGGAATTTGGCTTTCACAATTAGTTTCTACCACAAACCATACTTTAAGATATATGTGATTACAACTGCAGCTGGAATCTGGCTTTTGCTGGGTCAGTATGAAGCATGTGGTGAAATACAGCTATCAAGCTTTTCTCAGTGCTCACGAAAATCTAAGCACCTATTTCTCAAATCTCTTGTAGTTTTCTTGCTTTGTTTTTTTTTTTAACAAATGCTAAATTCCTCAACTGTAGGGGTTTCGGTTACTTGACAGCAGGGATAATAGTAATGAGATAGTTTAATGTACCAGGCTTCCAATCTGCTTCCCGCATAGAGCTCTTCAAACCTTCCCAGGTGTCCTCGTGGTTCTGCTTTTTCTCTTGCAATTTTCCATGCAGCCGCAAGGCCTACTGTATTAATGCTGAGAACAGTCATGCTATCATTTAATTCAAAGCAAACACATACTTCAGAGTGTTCTATTAAGATGTCAAATTCTTTTTTTTTTTTCTTCCCTGGTGCTGGTACTGGGGCTTGAAATCAGAGCTTGGGTGCTGTTGCCTTTTTTTCCTCCACTCTACCATTTGGGCCACAGCTCTATTTCTGGCTTTTGAGTGGTTAATAGCAGGTCAAAGCCTCACAGTGAAAGTCTCCTTGCCAGAGCTGGCTTTGAACCACAAGGTAAGTCTGCAAGACCTTTATCTCCAATTAACCACCCAAAAGGCAGAAGTGGAACTGTGGCCAAGTAGTAGAGCGCAAACCTTGAAAGGAAACAAAACAAAACAAAACACACTAAGGAACAGCACCCAATCTTCAGTTCCAAGCCCAGTACCAGCACACTTATATTTAGCATTAAGACTACATTATTCTACCTGGTGTGGCAGTATACACAGTATATACAGATGCAAATCACTGAGGTAGGAAGATTGAGAGTTCCAGACCAGCCTGGGTTGGTATTGAAATCCTGTCTAAAGGAAAAAAAAAATTACCCCTCCTCCTTCAACTATTCTGATTAATATCTCAAATTCCCTAATTTTATTTCAAAGACTGTTAGCAATAACAAACATGCAGCAGACCACATATAACAAAGACATCAATGAGAACATAAATTTAAGACTCAGATTGGGTAAAGCAGAATGATGCAAATAGCAAATTTACTGTTTTCCAAAACAAAGAACTGCCTCCCCCCCTCCAAAAAAACAAAACAAAAAACTGGACTGCCACATTTGACTGAAAGGCAATTTAGACAATCAGGAAAACAGAATGACCACAAGCTTCGTTTATTCACAAACAATCTTTTTTTTTTTGCCGGCTGTGGGCCTGAACTCTGAGCCTGGGTGCTGTCCCTCAGCTCTTCAGCTCAAGGCTAGTGCTCTACCACTTGAGCCACAGCGCCACTTGCGGCTTTTTCTGCATATGTGGTGCTGAGGAATAGAACCCAGTTCCTCATGCATGCAAGGCAAGCACTCTACCACTGAGCCACCTTCCCAGCCCCTCAAACAATCTTCCAGATCTCTTAAATGTTAGCTTAATGATTAAAAAACTACTTCTATATATGTATATACTTATGTATGTATGTATACACGTGCACTTTTCCCCATTTATTTTAGCCTACAGGAATCTCCCACTTATTTGGAAAAGAAAATGTCTTGTGCAAGCAACAAAGTGGACTCCATGCTCTAGAACATGTGGGATGGGCATATCTAACAGGGTGACCAACGAAAACAGTAACTGTGAAATGAGAAATGAGAAAAGACTATGCTACATTCAGCCTTGCAGCAGTAATGTATCAAAGACTGTAGAGGTAAAGTGTAGATTTAACTTAATTTTAATTCAGCATTATAAAATGAAATATGTTTTGGAGGGAGTAATAGTGTTTGATTCTTCACTGGAACTCTTAGTCCAATTATCTGGAAAGAAAACAGACACTCATCTAACTGCACATTGTGTAGAGAACTTTACCTAGTAAAAGTATTGTTAATCTGCTGATTCTAGATAGTCTACCAGCTTAATAAAATGATTTGTTGGGGTAAACCCAAGAATATTATTCTTTACAGAGTAGATCCTTTTCAGATTCTAACCCTCTACAGCCATATTTCTGTATTAGTGGAATCAAAGTAATGAATGCAAAATCTTCGTTGCTTACCACAGTTATGAAAACAGCCATTAAAATGTTCAAAGCGTGGGCTGGGAAGGTGGCTCAGTGGTAGAGTGCTTGCCTCGCATGCATGAGGGACTGGGTTCTATTCCTCAGCACCACATAAGCAGAAAAAAGCTGGAAGTGGCGCTGTGGCTCAAGTGGTAGGGCAGTAGCCTTGAGCTGAAGAGCTGAGGGACAGCATCCAGGCCTAGAGTTCAGCCCCCACGACTGACAAAAAAAAAAAAAAAAGAAAAAGAAAAAAAAAGATGGTCAAAGCAAAGAAGTTCTGGTGTTAGATACAAATCACCAACTTGGACTGAATCACATCATTCTCCAAATGGCATGTGTTCAACAGTAAACTCGTCAAAGGACCATTATAAAATATTTTCCCTGAGACTTGGGGAGCTAGGTCTAGACCTGGCCCCATTCTTCAAAGAGGCCAAGCAACTGTCTCAAAGATTAATTTTCAAAAATATTACTCATTCTCAAGGTATTCCCTGTCATATTAGAAGTTGACAACCCAATTTTAAAGGGATTAAGATAGTTATTCATCTACTTAGCCACAAAACAGTTTAAATTATTAGGGAATGTGCTAAGTCTTAGGTAATATTCCACTTGTATGGAACTGATTTAAGGACAGATAGCAAGAAATATGAGACAAAGCAAGAATACAGAGAGCCTCCGGTGAGAAGAAATTTTATAGGCAGAAAAGAGGATGCTGGAAGTCATGACACAGTAACTATTATTAATGCTCCAGATGTGATCTAATCTGCATGTTATAATCTATTGTATTAAACTTAAAGAACGGCTGTTTATTTTTTTTTTCAGATTCCCAAAGGGAAAACATGCCAACCTACTTTCCAGCTTGCCAAAGCTGAAAAATTTGTCTTTTCTGGATGTTCAAGTACTCAGAGTTACAAACCCACGTTTTGTGGAATGTGCTTGGATAGGAGATGCTGCATCCCTAATAAGTCTACAATGATTACCATTCAGTTTGACTGCCCTAATGAAGGGTCAATGAAATGGAAGATGTTGTGGATAATATCTTGTGTATGTCAGAGAAACTGCAGAGAACCTGGAGATATGTTTTCAGAACTCAAGATTCTATAAAATATGGGATAAAGTTAACATTAGTCAATTGTATCATCTATAATAAAAAAACCAGAATGGGTAGAAAAGGGTGAGAAATCTTTATGAGTCAAAAATACTAAGAATATCCATTCATTCTCATATCACCATATTGAAGGATGAGACGTTTCTAAGAAAAGTCCTACCAAAATGTATAGAAAAAGTAGCTGGGTGCTGATGGCTCATACCTGTAAATCCTAGCTACTAAGTAGTAGTCTGAGATCTGAGGATCATGGTTTGAAGCCAGCCCAGGCAGGAAAGTCCATGAGACTTCTATCTCCAATTAATGACCAAAGAACAGGAGCTGTGGCTCAAGTGGTGTAGTGCTAGCCTTTAGCAAAAAAGCAGAGACAGCACCCAGACCCTGAGGTTCAAGTCCCACACATGTATATACAAAAATTTACGGAAGAAAACTTAAAAGTTATTTCTAAAATATATCCTGTAATTAGGTAATATGCAGATTATTTGGCATCGTTAAAGCATTCCACATAAGATATACAAATAATAATATTTATAGGAAAACATTTTATTTTATACAATAATGTGGAATACTATGTTGATAGTACATAAAGTTATATGAAATTAAAAAAATTAATCTATACTTAAAAATGTAGACAAGGCTCTTACCAGATGATAATCAGTATAGGTGCAAGTAAGATTCTAGATTGTCCTTAAAAAGAAATATGATTAAACTAGAAATATAATTATATTTCGATATATATTCCTATCTATCTATCTATCTATCTATCTATCTATCTATCTATCTATCTATCTATCTATCTATCTATCTATCTATCTATCTATCTATCTATCTATCTA